GAGTAGTTTTGGGAAGGTGCTAGTTTCTAGTGACTTGTTAAAAAGTAATGAGATAGCATGCGAGAGGACATGGGCTGCTCTCTTGTACAATAATGGTGGGACATGAGACAGATTCCCTGAGTTATTTTTAAGTGACTTTATAATCTCGGTGACTTCCGTGGGCTCAGTTGGAGCAAGATAGAAGGAATTTGGGAAATTCCCATCTAGGTAGTCCCCGGCATGGGCATTGGTACGTGGGATTTTATTGGCGAGATTAGAACCTATGGTTAGGAAGAAGTCGTTTATCTTGTTAGCTGTGTCAGTGGGATGCAGTGGTGTTTCATTAGGTTTAGTTAGGACAATATTCTTGGTTTTTTTCAGTTTGTGGGTCCCTAGAATCTGAGAGAGTGTTTTCCAGGTCTTTTTTATATCTCCTCTTGTGTCAGTGAATCTACTGTAGTAGTATAGTTGTTTGGCTTTCTTTATTACTTTGATGAGGACTGATGAATAGTGTTTAAGAATATCTTTGTGTATTAGGCCCTGTCTATATTGCTTTTCACATTGGTGTTTCTTATCAATGGATTTCAGAATGGTGCTGGTTAGCCATGGGCAACCAAGCCATTTGTTTGTGATCTGTTTCGTTTTTATAGGACAATGTTTGTTGTATAGTCTAAGTAATTTGTTAAGAAAAATGTCTGTCCAGTCATCAATACCATTGGCCTTGGAGAATTCTGTAGGCCAGTCAACAGTCTCTAGGTCAGCTGTGAACTTCCTTATTGAGGCCTCATCATGGAGTCTAAATGAAACTTTGTTGTATTCAAGTGGTGGTTTACTAATGTTTGTCAAGAGGAAGGTAGGGTAGTGGTCTGTAGTGCTATCTGTGATTATCCCTGATTTAAGGGGGGCTAGTATATTGGTCCATATGTGGTCTATTATGGTTGCACTTGTTTCAGTGAGCCTGGTTGGTTTAGTTATTGTTGGTATGAGAAGTGTGTTGTTCATATTGTTGATGAAATCAGTTACAGGCTGATCATCTAGTAGGCTAAGGTTGATGTTGAAGTCTCCAGCTAAGAGAAGGTGGTGCTTATTCATTTGTGTTTGTTATTAGTTCCTTTAATTTCTCACTGAAATTTGGGATGTTTGTGTGGGGTATCCAGTAAATGGCACCGATTGTTATAGACGTCTTAAGGTTTTTTACAGTAAAATTAGCAAAAATGTATTCTCCATATTCATCACTAAAGCAAGTGGTGCTAATACAAGATAATTGGTTAGAGTAATAGATTGCAATACCACCCCCAACTTGGTATGGTCTGCAGTTGTGGATTGCTGTGTATCCTGGTAGAAGGTAGATATCTATTGTGTCCTGCTTAAGCCAGGTCTCAGTAAGAATAATGCAGGAGAAGGGTGTCTTTAGTGATTCAAGGAGTGCCAGGAGGTCATCATAGTGTTTGCTTAAGGACCTGATGTTGTAGTTAAGTACTGATAGACTTTTAGCATTGTTTAGGATAGTGCTGGCTTGTGATGCTGAGTAGTAAAGGCAGTTACTTTCCAATAGGTTTTGGTTGTGTGTCAGATTATGGAGGTTTAGATCAGGGTCAACGTGATCCATCATCTTCTAGGTTTAAATTATGGTTATTTATATCCTGAGTTGTGTGTTGAGTTTTAGTACTGATATCTGTAGCGGTGGGAAGTTTGGACAAGTATATAGCTATAGCATTTTGGTCATGTAGAGTATAGTCACTAATACACATAATGGAGTTGGTGTTGTCTATGTGTTGTGCTGGAATGAGCTAAAGTACAACTAGGTATAAACTAATAATATAAAAAAACAAATTAAAAATAGCACAAGACTCTCACTTGTAATTGCACTAAGGTGCAATCTTGGTACAGAAAACACCTTGGACAAGTTTTTCAAGTGAGAAGTGTTGGATCTGAGAAGGACATGACCTCTCAGTGGCTACATTCTCACTACTACTACTACTCTGCACCTCTCCTTCCGACAGTATTTAAGTTTCCGCACTGTCGCTTGATCTTCAGATAGTTCCTGACTATGGAACTGAACTTCTCCAGGCTGAGGGACTGACAACCTCAAATTCTATGACTTCAAGGGTGATGGACTGATTACATCGTCTTCACATCTTTACTGTTCCTGCCTACTTTCTGTATTCGACTGAAGAAGCCTACTGTGTAGGCGAAACGTTTTGGAATAAAGTTGTCTAACTGTTGTATGTGTGTGTTACCTAACAACCTGTCGGTATTGTATACCATTTTGATGTTCATTATGTCTGAGATCATGAGCATGGACAAAGTAACAAAGACAATGAGCATCATGATGATCAGCTAAAGGAGGAACATTTGCCTCTGCAGAGAAGCATGCAACGGGATGAACGAAAGGCACCAAGGCATAAACAGAAACCTTGATGATGAAGGGGATCTAACTTAGAAAGAGTTGTAGAAGCTGCAGAATAGACTTGGTTGCCATAATCCAGCTTGGGCAAGACTAGGGTGGAATGCAAATGGAGGACAGCTCAGCAATCTGCTCCCCATGAATGATATGCAAGAATTTTAAGGAGATTCAGCCACCCATGGCAAGTTACCATGAAGGAAAAAGGGTGAGTGGTACACATAGGAGTCTGTGGAGACAAAGAACATTGTCTGTGAAAGGAAAGAGGGATATGTATGAGAGTACATGTATAGTTATACCAACACTCTTCTATGGGTGTGAAGCATAGTAGTTTTAATACCGTAGTTCATAAATTCACATTATGTTAAAATAATTAAGGTGCTATTAGATGCTTAATTGTATAACTGAATTATCTGTACTGTAATAATCCCTTTTTCTTATAAATTTTTACAAGTTTTAGAATAATTACAGAGTCTTATTCATAAGTCTAGTTGTAGATTCAATATAACTCCTATATTATTTTACTCAGAAAATCTGGTTTGTAAAATTACTCTCATCCTATGATTATAGGCATAGATCCTGATGTAAACTTTTTACTAAATGAAATACACAAATCAAACAGTAACTGTAATTACTACACAGCAGACCAAGCAAAGACATTACTCAGTGCAAACAATAACATAACCATCTTTAACTACAATGTCAGATCCTTGAGCAAACATTATGACCTCACAGCATTGCTCAATTCCCTTCATTCCAAAATATCAATCATCACACTCACAGAAACCTGGCTTAAGCCTGATATTACATATGTCTAGGCCATTCCTGGCTACATGGCCATACACAACTGTAGAACAGACCAGCAAGTGGGAGGAATAGCTATATACTACTCAAATCAACTCGAATGCATCGACAAATCCTGCACAAGGGATGAACATGGAGAATATATCATAGCCAAATTTAAATCAAAAGACCTGCAAAAACCCCTCACAGTTATAAACATCTACAGAGTACCACAGTCAAATATTTACCACTTTAGTGAAAAACTAGGAAACATGATTACTGATGCACACATGAATAAAGACCACCTGCTACTAACAGGAGATTTCAACATAAATATACTACACAACCAGGACCCACAAGTAACCAAATACACAAACACAATGAGTAACTGCCTGTTGCTACCAGCAATATCTAAACCTACGAGAATCACTGAAACAAGCATCTCCTTAATAGACCACATCTGGAAAAACACCATATCCCCTTTAAAATCAGGCATAATCACAGACAACACTACAGACCACTACCAAACCTTTCTCATAACTAACCTGGGCAAACTGCCACAAGACATTACTAAAGTAACCTTCAGACTACATAACAAGACAGCAGTTAACAACTTTATAGCAGCTATGAATAACATCGATTGGCAAAATGAGCTCGAAACATATACAGACATGAATGAATGTATAAATAATTTTCTAAAAAAAAAAGCCCAATGCCTCTACAACAAACATTGCCCCAAAAAAACTAAACAGATCACAGCAAAGAGACTGAATAATCCCTGGCTAACACCAAGCATCCTCAAATCCATTAACACAAAGCACAAATATGAAAAACAGGACAGAATGGGTCTAATAACTAGAGAAAAGTCTAAACGTTACTCGTCAGCACTTACCAGCCTGATAAGAAGATCTAAAAAATTGTATTATGAAAATAGACTACATAACATCAAAGGTGATATGAAAAAAACCTGGAAAACTCTATCTGAAATTCTTGGAAATAAAAAGTTATCCAAAAACAAAACAATCAAACTAACAAAATCAGATGAACCCCCACTCACACCTACTGAAACAGCAAACAGACTCAATGTTTTCTTCTCCACCATAGGTAAAAATCTAGCGAACAAAATACCAAGCGTAAACACCCGTCCATCAGACTACCTCATAGGCACCTACCCAAATACGCTATTCCTAGCTCCAACCAACCCCATAGAAGTTACACTCATCATAAACGCCCTTAAAAAAAAGGCAGGAGACATAAACAACTTGCCTGCTTTTACGTACAAAAAAGCTTCTCAAGTATTGTCACCAATTATTGCAACACTCTTTAACAAATCCATTGAATCATCTACCTTCCCAACAATCCTCAAAATAGCGAGGGTCACTCTGATCCACAAAGGAGGTGACCAAGCTGACTTGAATAACTATAGACCAATATCTAACTTACCACTGCTCTCTAAAATCTTCGAAAAATTAATGCATAGACGGATCTATTCCTACCTCGTCTCACACAACATATTAAAAACCCTTGTCAGTTTGGTATCAGGAATAATAAAAGAATGAATAATGCTATCATACACATGCTAGAACTAATATATACTGCACCTGAAAAGAAAGAAGTCCCGCTGGGCATTTTCATTGATTCACGTAAAGCTTTCAATACAGTCAACCATGAACTGCTGTACTCCAAATTAACGCACTATGGTATCAGAGGCCACTATCTCAACTACCTAAAATCATACCTTAGTAACAGAACTCAATATGTGTATGCAAATGATGCAAACTCTTCCACCAAACCAATCACAGTAGGAGTCCCACACGGAAGCGTCTTGGACCACTCCTCTTTCTCATCTACATCAATGATCTACCGAATGCATCACAGCTACTCAAACCCATATTATTTGCAGATGACACTACATATGTCTTTTCCCACCCAAACACAGTCAATGCCGAATTGCAGAAAATATCTGCCTGGATGATGACTAATAAACTTACCCTGAATACTGATAAAACCTATTTCATTCAGTTTGGAAACAAAGATGCAAATGATCCGATTAACATAATGCTAAATGGATCATCAGTCACAAGACTCACAGAGGGAAAATTCCTAGGTATCCACCTTGACAGTAGCCATAAGTTCTGGACACACACACAACAAATCACCAAGAAAATCTCCAAGACTGTAGGCATACTATCAAAGATAAGGTACTACGTTCCACAATCAGCTCTCCTGGCACTGTACCATACACTCATATACCCTTACCTCACCTACGGAATTTGTGCATGGGGATCAACAACATCCAATCATCTAAAACCCCTCATAACCCAGCAAAAGGCAGCAGTAAGAATGATAACAAATTCCCACTCCCGCCAGCATACTCCACCAATTTTCAAAAGTCTGAATCTGCTCATCATTAAGAACATCCATACTTATTCATGTGTCTACTACATACACATAACAATACATGCAAATATAAACTCTCCACTCAAACTTCTCCTCCCCAACCTAAACAGGACACATGACCACAACACAAGACACAGATCACTTTTTGATATACCTCGTGTCCTTATCACACTGTATAAGAACTCTATGCACATAAAAGGCCCTAAAATGTGGAATTCATTACCAGAAGTTATTAACCCCTTCAGGGTCCAAAGCCAAAATCTGAAGTGGTGCTCCAGTGTCCAAGAAATTTTGAAAAAAAAAAAAAAAAAAAAAAAAAAAAAAAAAAAAATCTTAAAGAATTAAAGAGTATATTTTTTGTGAAGGTAATAAGACAAAAAAAAAAAAAAAGATTTTCTGATCAGTACTTACCGAGATACAGCGGCAGAAAGTTGACCCAAAATGACCGGGTGGTGGCAACATCAGTGACTTCCGCAAAATCCCATTTTTTTATTTTACGTTTTTTATACTTTTTTTTTTCTTTTCTAATTTTTTTCTTTTTCTAATAACATTTGTGGCCTGTGAGACCAATATAATGTATATTGTATAAGTGTACACTCATTGTATTCAACACAATAACTGCACTAATTTATCATTATATTGCTTATAAAACTTGTTTACAAGTTTATTGTAAACAAAATGATGAAAATATTAGTGCGGTTATTGTGTTGAATACAACGGTACCATATAGTACCATATGGCACATGATACAATGGTACCATATAGTACCATATGGTACAATGGTGCCATAGGGTGCAATTGTACCATATGGTACAATGGCACCATATGATACAATGGTACCATATGATACAGTGGTACCATATGGTACAATGGCACCATTTAGTACAATGGAACCATATGGTACAACAGCACCATTAAGTACAATGGTACCATATAGTGCAATGGTATCTTATGGTGTAATGGTACCATATGATGAAATGGTACCATATGGTACATTGTACCATACAGTACAATGATACCATATGGTTCATTGTACCATATGGTACTGTTGTATTCAACACAATAAGCACACTAATATTTTCATTATTATTTTGTTTACAATAATTGTTTACAACAAAAATATGCAAAAATGTTGTATATTAGTAATGTTCTATTATATATTTACAAGTGTACAGGTTCTTGACGTGTTCCTTGAGGTGGATGACAAAGCACTTTGTCTCGGAAACTGCGGAGTCAGTAGCTAGCTTGTGTCGCCACTCACTCAGTCTTGGCTGGTGTCTCATGCCACCAACACCTATTGACCATATGGAACATGGTATCATATGTTACAGGGCACCATATGGTACATTGTACTATATGGTATAGGGTACCATGCAGTACAAGATAACATATGGTGCAGGGTACCATATGGCACAGGGTACCATATGGTACAGAGTACCATATGGTACAGAGTACCATATGGTACAGAGTACCATATGGTACAGAGTACCATATGGTAGAGTACCATACAGTACAGGACACCATATGGTACAGATACAGGGATAACTATGGAAATAAGTCACCCTGACTTTTTTGGGTTATCCTAGGATTTTATATGTATGCTGCTATGTATGATAATCTATGTAATTGTATTTCTGTATACCTGAATAAACTTACTCAAGTGCATGTGGCATCATAAGCAAGTTTATTTAGTTATACACAAATAAAGTTACATAGAATATCATACTTAGCAGCATATGTTTGGAGAACCTAGGATAACTTATTTCCATTAGGGTCCCTGTACCCTGTACCATATGGTATAATGCACCATATGGTACAATGTACTATATGGTACATTGTACCATATGGTACCATTGTACCATATGATACCATTGTACCATATGACACCATTGTACCATATGGTACCATTGTACCATATGGTTCAAAACCATAGAATTCATCTTCAGCTCCACTTCCATCAGTCTTAGAACTGTAAGTTGTGAAGAGGAGAGTCAGAATTCGCCCGGAGAGTGAGTGGGGAGTGAGAGCATCTTGCCGCCAGGCACTATGAACAAAGCTACTTTGCCGGCGTTCCCACAATGCCATGCGGGCATCCAGATTTTTTCTATGGTGTGCACACTGACCACCCAGACCCATTTTCTTAGATGCAGGCCTACCAGCCTTCTCGTGCTAAATTTGACGGCGCTAGAATTTTGGCATAGATCTACGGTTTGGACCCTGAACATAAAGCCGTAGATCTACGGGACGGACCCTGAAAGGGTTAAAGTAACCCAGTCTGAAAATCAGTTTAAGACTCTTCTCAAAAGCCACTTAATCACCCAAGACTAAATGCTAAATACTCAGTACACACATACTCACCTATGTACACCCACATCATAACTTCAACAATCACTTTGAACCTTTTATCTATTGTTGACAGGAATATAATGAACCATTGTTTTCCACAATTAGCATTTTAGACCAAAAAGAAAATGCTTTCATCATCATTCAACACTTTCACCACACTCACACATAATCACTGTTTTTGCAGAGGTGCTCAGAATACAACAGTTTAGAAGCATATACATATAAAGATACACAACATATCCCTCCAAACTATATTTATATATGCATGTGTGTGTCTGTGAAGTGTGACCAAAGTGTAAGTAGGAGTAGCAAGATATCCCTGTTATCTAGCATGTTTATGAGGCAGAAAAAGACACCAGCAATCCTACCATCATGTAAAACAGTTACAGGTTTCTGTTTCACGGTCATCTGGCAGGACAGTAGTACTTCCCTGGGTGGTTGCTGTCTACCAACCTACTACCCCAGAAAATACTCGAGGGCCTGGTCCCAAATCTGCACACTGCCATAACAACATAGTGGAGTGAGAGATATGGGAGGAAGTGTAAAATAAACCCAGTGAGAAGCAGGGGTGTGGTGGAGACAATAAGGGAACACTGTATCAACATCCGGGGTCCCAGACTATTCAACATCTTACGAGAAGATATCAGAAACATGGCTGGAACAAGTATAGAAGCCTTCAAGAGGAAACTGAACAAGTATCTTCACCATGTGCCAGATCAACCAGGCTATGATGGATATGTGGGGAAGCAGGCCTCCAGCAGCAACAGCCTGGTTGACCAGGCAAGCACCAGACAAGCCTGGCCCATGGCCAGGCTCAGAGAGTAGATAAACTCTCGAAACTCTTCAAAGGTATATCAAAAGTAGATATGGTGCAAACTTACCACATAGATGTATTCTCTCATCTAGGCCCAAATTTACTACTCACAGCTTATCTGAATGAGCTGAGGTCATGATGTAGTACTACGGCTTGGACCTTGACTTCAAAGCCATAGAACCGAGAGAGACCCGTCAAAGGGTTAATGAAAAGCAACGGTGAAGAAGCTAAAATCATTATAACTGTTGATTCTAACTGGTTAACCTATGAGCATGGAACCATAAATAAAATGTTTAATCAAATTCCTGTGCAATGAGTGGTCTCCTTATGCATGAGCACATTAAAAACAAGTGACTAATGTTACAGTATTTACAAACAAAAAAGGTGAAGTAATTCTCAGTATAAGCCACCTAAACCCACTTGAAAAGAGAAATCATGCTCTATTAAAATTGAAATGCTACTAAATAAGACTTCAGGGAAGAAAAGAAAATCACAGAAACATCATAATTATAATAAAGGGAATTATGGTGATTGAGACAGATATAACTTACAAGTATTTTTTCTTTCAGCTCCCGTTTGACCTGTTCAAGGCCTCCAATATCCTGCCATGTAGTATCTGGAACTGTGGGGAAGCCTTCTCTCTTTAATGCAGGAGTCACATGCTGAAAATTAAATAAAATGATAACCTAAGACTTATGAGATCATTATTCTTATAGCTTCCAAGTGTAAACCACTTTCAAATTCAAAATTAAGTATAAAGTAAAAGATATGACAATTGTATATATAAAGTAAAAGATATGGTGATCATGATGCAATCACACTTCTGCTAACACATCTGCTGTTTCCCATTACAACAGGATGGCCCAAACAGAAATACACATTCATCTTCACTTGTTTTCTAGCTATTTTTCCTGAATGAGCAGAGCCAAGAATGAGAAAAAAAAGGAAGACAGGTGTGGGGTATGATGGTAATAATAATATTAATAATAAAAAAAAAGAGGAGGTGATTCAAAGAAAAGCTAATCCAAGTCTGAGATGGCAACTATGATTACATAACAAACACTAACCACAAGAAACCCCATGGTGATTGTTGCTGTCTTTGTTACGAGTATGTCCATACCCGACATTTTTTATACTAGGATGTGCTCCTTTATTTTATATGTTAATGCTAATATTGTGTTATATACTGTTTGTTAGGCATTCATAATAGTAAGTGTTATTTTCATGTAGTGGGACACCACTAGTTTGAGTGACGCTCATTAGTTCAGATACTGACGTCTCCCTCAGTCATGTGACCAACCTGACGTCAGCTTATCAGGCATTAGTACAGTCAGTAGGTTCACAGCACTCGCTCAGAGTAGGTTCATACACTCTCTTCTCAGCAGATTCAGGCGCTCAGCCTTTAATATAATTCCTTGTTTTAGAATATTCCTTAGTCTCAGACCAAGTTTGGATCCCATTGCGGTGCAATATTTAGACACTGCTGTAATCAGTAATCCTATTATGATGGAATCTGTTTATCTCACCCGAACTTCCTCCTCCCTTAGTTTATACACTTTCACCTCCCTCTTACTTGTTGTTGCCACCTTCCTCTTTTCCCATCTACCTCTTACTCTAACTGTAGCTACAACTAAATAATGATCCGATATATCAGTTGCCCCTCTATAAACATGTACATCCTGGAGCCTACCCATCAACCTTTTATCCACCAATACATAATCTAATAAACTACTTTCATTACGTGCTACATCATACCTTGTATATTTATTTATCCTCTTTTTCATAAAATATTATTACTTATTACCAAATTTCTTTCTACACATAGCTCAATTAAAGGCTCCCCTTTTTACATTTACCCCTGGCACCCCAAATTTCCCTACTACTCCTCCATAACTTTTTTACCCACTTTAGCATTGAAATCCCCAAACCACCATTACTCTTACACTTGATTCAAAACTCCCCAGGCATTCACTCAACATTTCCCAAAAATTCTCTCTCCCCTCTACACTTCTCTCTTCTCCAGGTGCATACACGCTTATTATAACCACTTTTCACATCCAATCTTTATTTTTACTCCACATAACCTTGAATTAATACATTTATAGTCCCTCTTTTCCTCCCATAGCTTATCCTTCAAAAATTTTGCTACTCCTTCTTTAGCTCTAACTCTATTTGAAACCCCTGACCTAATCCCATTTATTCCTCTCCACTGAAAAATCTCCCACCCCTTCGCTTTGTTTCACTTAAAGCCAGGACATCCAGCTTCTTCTCATTCATAACATCCACAATTATCTCTTTCTTATTCATCTGCACAAATTCCCGCACATTCAGACTTTCCACTTTGACAATTTTCTTCTTCTTATTCTTTTTAGTAATCTTTACAGGAAAAGGGGTTACTTAGCCCATTGTTCCCGGCATTTTAGTTGACTTTTACAACACGCATGGCTTACGGAGGAAAGATTCTTTATTCCACTTCCCCATGGATATAAAAGGAAAATTAATAAGACCAAGAACTATTAAGATAAAAACAAAAAAAAACTCAGATGAGTGTGTTTTAAATAAATGGTACATGTATTTTGTAGTGTGACCTAAGTGTAAGTAGAAGTAGCAAGACATGCCTGTAATCTTGCTATTTTTGAGACAGACAAAGACATTCAGCAATCCTAACCCTCATGTAAAACAATCACAGGCTTTCGTTTTACACCACTTGGCAGGAGGTAGTACCTCCCTGGGTGGTTGTGTCTACAACTACTACAAATTTTTTATATATTATTTTATATTTTTATTATATTTATTATATATATTTATATTATATATATATTTATATTATATATTTTTTATATATATATTTATTTATATTTTATATTTATAATATTATTATATTATATAATTTTATATATATTTTTTATATTATATATTATATATATATATATTTTTATATTTTATATTTTATATATTATATTTTTTATATATATTTTATATTATATTATTATATATTTATATAATTATATATATATATATTTTATATATATAAAATATATATATTATTTTTATATATATATATTTATATATATATATATATATATATTATATATATTATATATTATATTATATATATATATATATTATTTATATATATATATATATATATATATTTTATATATATTTTATATATATATATATTATATATTTTTTATAAATATATATATAAAATATATATATATTTTATATATTATAGATAATATATATATTATATATATATAAAATATTATATATATATATATTATATATATATATTATTTTTATTATTTAAAATATTTTATATATATATAATTTTTTATATTTATATATATTATATTATATATATATATTTATATATATATATATATTTATATATATATATTATATATATATATAAATTTTTAATAAATTATTTATATATTTTATTAAATAAATATTTATATTTATATATTTTAAATTTTTTTAAAAAAATTTTTTATATAATTTATTATTATATATATAGATATAAAATATATATAATATTTATTATATAATATATTATATATATAATAATTAATAATATTATGAAGTATTTTGTATAAAGATACACAACATATCCCCCCAAATGCTAAATCCTGAATCCCCCCTTTTAAATGGGGGCATTGTACTTCCATTTCCGGGGCTCAAGCCCAGCTATAAAAAAAATAACCGGGTTTCCCTGAATCCCTTCACTAAATATTACCGTTCACACTCCAACAGACGTCAGGTCCCAAATCCTTTTCCCCCCCTCATTCACCTACCGAAATGTATGCACGCTTGCTGGAAACCAGCCCCCTTTCCTACAAAAACCTCCTTACCCCTTCCTTTCCCAAATACGGGAAACCCCTACCCCCCTTCCTTCCCCCAAGATTTTAAAATTCTCCTGCATTCTACTTGATCCATTTTTTCTAAAAACCAACCATCAAAAACCCCCCCTTTGCCCCCTGCTAATACTTTTATTAACCAACCTTCTAATTTCCACACTCCGAATTTTCTGCATAATTTTACACCACACATTGCCCTTGACAGGTCTCCCCTAAACCCAACCGCCTCCCCGCTGTGATTCACAACCCAGTTCACACCCCTATAGGTGTTGGGACCTTTCTTTCAAACATTCCCTTCTTTGCTTTCCCTTGATAAAATTTTTTGTCTCCAAATACCCCCAATGCACCACCACCTTCTTTTCCTCATCAATTCTATGATTAACCTTATCCTTCATAACTCCATCCCCCGACACGTCAACTCCCAAGTATCTGAAAACATTCACTTCTTCCATACTCCTCCTCCCCAATTTGATATCCAATTTTTCTTTATCTAAATCTTTTGATACCCTCATCACCTTACTCATTTCTATGTTCACTTTCAAATTTCTACGTTTACACGCACTCCCAAATTCATCCACTAACCTTTGCAATTTTTCTTTAGAATTTCCCATAAGCACAGTATCATCAGCAAAAAGCAACTGTGTCAATTCCCATTTTGCATCTGATTCCCCATAATTTAATCCCAACCCTCTCCACACACCCTAGCACTTACTTCTTTTACAACCCCAACTATACATATATTAAACAACCATGGTGACATTACACATCCCTGTCTAAGACCTACTTTTACCGGGAAGTACTCTCCCTCTCTTCTACACACCCTAACCTGAGCCTCAATATCCTCATAAAGACTCTTTATAGCATTTAGTAATTTACCACCAATTCCACATACTTGCAACATCTGCCACATTACTCCCCTATCCACTCCATCATATTTTTTATTATATTTTTTATTAACACACTGGCTGATTCCCACCAAGGCAGGGTGGCCCAAAAAAGAAAAACTTTCACCATCATTCACTCCATCACTGTCTTGCCAGAAAGGTGCTTTACACTACAGTTTTTAAACTGCAACATTAACACCCCTCCTTCAGAGTGCAGGCACTGAACTTCCCATCTCCAGGACTCAAGTCCGGCCTGCAGGTTTCCCTGAATCCCTTCACAAATGTTACTTTGCTCACACTCCAACAGCACGTCAAGTTTTAAAAACCATTTGTCTCCATTCACTCCTATCAAACACGCTCACGCATGCCTGCTGGAAGTCCAAGCCCCTCGCACACAAAACCTCCTTTACCCCCCTCCCTCCAACCTTTCCTAGGCCGACCCCTACCCCACCTTCCTTCCACTACAGACTGATACACTCTTGAAGTCATTCTCTTTCGCTCCATTCTCTCTACATGTCCGAACCACCTCAACAACCCTTCCTCAGCCCTCTGGACAACAGTTTTGGTAATCCCGCACCTCCTCCTAACTTTCAAACTACGAATTCTCTGCATTATATTCACACCACACATTGCCCTCAGACATGACATCTCCACTGCCTCCAGCCTTCTCCTCGCTGCAACATTCATCACCCATGCTTCACACCCATATAAGAGCGTTGGTAAAACTATACTCTCATAAATTCCGCTCTTTGCCTCCAAGGACAAAGTTCTTTGTCTCCACAGACTCCTAAGTGCACCGCTCACCCTTTTCCTCTCATCAATTCTATGATTCACCTCATCTTTCATAGACCCATCTGCTGACACGTCCACTCCCAAATATCTGAATACATTCACCTCCACCATACTCTCTCCCAA